ATTCTATTCTATTCTATTCTATTCTATTCTATTCTATTCTATTCCTATTCCTATTCCTATTCCTATTCCTATTCCTATTCTATATTCAGTGATTCACAATCAATTAATGATATACTCAAAAGAACATAAATTCTCTTAAGTCATTGGTTTATTCATAGGTATAGCTCTTTTATCTTTTTTTTTTTGCTTGTCTCCTTTTTCGTTTGTTTCGGTGCCTTCTAGTAAAAAATATCTTTTTTTAAAAAAAGAGAGACTATGGAGTTTGCAGTCTCTTTTTGAGGCAGTCGTCGACTTAGGATACAATTGAGCCCAAAATTTCTATTGCTAAGCAAGACAGGCGTTAAGTGAATTTTGCCTCATTTTACGGCCTTTCTGTTGCTAAGCGAGACAGTTGGTAAGTGAATCGCTGCCATTGTTAAGTTAGTTACACCGGTTACTAAGCGAATCTGGCTTCCCCATTGATTTTATGTGTCAGACAGTCGCAAAAGGGGATCACATGACTTCCGGGACATTGCAACCATCATAAATACGAGTCAGTTGCCAAGCACCTGAATTTTGATCACATGTAGCATCATATTGTAGCATCACATGGGGATGCTACAATAGATGTAAGTGTGGTTTATGTTGTGTGGACTTCAACTCCCAGAATTCCCCAGCAAGCATGGTTTAAGTTGTATGTACTTCATCTCCCAGAATTCCCCAGCATAATTTAATATAGCCAAGGTTAAGAAACAGTGCTTTAAGCCTGTCAGGAATATCCATGAAAACAAAATGCTACACTAAGGAAAGCTTTGACCTATGCTACTTTTATTTAACGTTGCTTACTTTTGCCATTATTTAAAATATTTTTAATTTGGATGTTGTTTTGTCTTTCTCCAAAGCGGAAACTTTCTGATCTCCATGTTTATGAACCTGTCCTTAGTTGTTAACTGGCTTTTAATAATCTTTCCTTTTTTGTCTTCGCTGGTTAATGTTTGTTTAGATCTCTATATCTGAATGACAAGGTTCATTTCCAATGTTTTTACAGCCCTTAGAAAGTTTAAAAGCCAAGAGGAAAAGTTGATGAGGTGTTTCCCCCCCCCTTGTCTTCTGTTAGTTTGAAAAGCTTGGTAGGACTCCAGGAAAGCCTTAGATTAATCTTTCACATTCACTGGAAAATGAACTAGTCCTCATGGTTAAACGCCGATGACAAATTGGCGTTTACATGACAAATGTCAGCAAGAGACTCAGAGGCAATGATGTACGATATGACATCTTATTATTCCTTAATTTTGGTTTTTTCTACATTTGAACTGTCTTCGAGGCAACAACAAATGGCTGTGCACCACCCTGAGTCCTTAGGGAGAAGGGCGGTATATAAATTGAAAAATAAATAAATAAATAAATAAAATACAACCCTAGGACTTTTAATACAGTGTGCAAGAGACACCAGCACAACTGTTGTGCATAGTTCAAGTCCTGATTGCCATATTGTCCTTTTGCATTTTTATGCTGAATTGGAAATGTGTTTTTTTTTTTTTTTTTTGTTGTTGTTCATTTATTTCCTGGGCTTTGTTGAGCTACTTTGGGAAAAAAAAAATTAAAAAGCAAACAAGAATGCAAATAAAATAGGCAAACGAAGAAAGTGATACTGGGTCTATATTGATTGGCTACCTACTAAGGAATTAATTAGGGATTAGAGTGGAGTGGAGTAGAACAGAATGAAATAATATGAAGAGAAGAGAAGAGAAGAGAAGAGAAGAGAGAGAGGAGAAGAGAAGAGAAGAGAAGAGAAGAGAAAGAGAGAGAAGAGAAGAGAAGAGAAGAGAAGAGAAGAGAAGAGAAGAGAAGAGAGAGAGAATAATAGTCTGTTGGATAGCTCAACAGACTAAAAGCCTGTTATTAACATTCAGCTGTCTGCAATTATTGCATGTTCGAATCTCCCCAGGCTCAAGGTTGACTCAGCCTTCCATCCTTTCTAAGGTAGATAAATTGAGGACCCAGTTTGTGGGGGCAATAAGCTGACTTTGTATAAAATATACGAAAGTATGAAGGCTATTGCTTAATGCATTGTAAGCCGCCCTGAGTCTCCGGAGAAGGGCGGCATATAAATCTAATTAAAAATAAAATAAAATAATGGAATGGAATGGAAAAATAAGAGGAAGAGGAAGAGGAAGAGAAGAGAAGAGAATAATGGAATGGAAAAAAGAGGAAGAGGAAGAGAAGAGAAGAGTATATAATACTATGCTACACTGTATTATAGTATATTATATTAATATCAGAATAACAAAGTGGGAAGGGAACTTGAAGGTCTTCTAATCCATTTCCCTACTCAAGCAGGAGACTCAAAGTAGTATAATAAGATATGACATAGTATATGATATTGTACTATTAAGTAATGCAAGGAAGAAACATTTCTATTCCAGTTCTGTGCCCGGATTTTTGTGTCCTCCTTTTCTAATTTAAACGTATTCACAGATATTTATAATATACTTTTGTGTTTTTGCCAAGTTACTATTGATAAAATTAGTTATTTATTCAAAGACTACTTTTCTCGATCCAAGGAAAACAAGCCAAGCCTTTTTTCTAACTATCTAAACAATGCTGGCATATCAAGATAAGCTTTTTTTTTTTTT